GTCTCACCTGATGATCTGGTCGTCTCTTCAGCTTGTGTTCAATCCATCGGCATTTTTCTTCACAATGTTTTCTGAGCAATGAATTCTTAATTGGTTCGTTCATACACTTTCTTGTTGTTATTAATTCTTTCTAACTGGCCATTTAATCTTCAGTATGACTAAAGTGAAGGTAGCCGTTGATAAACGTCTGTGACATATTGGAAATGTTTTTCATGAAACGCCCATCAGGTTTTTGAAGAAGAAGTGATGGTATTGAAAATCCGACATTTTTTGTTAAAGTGCAGAAGATTTCCAAATTTGATTCAGAATGATAAATGCCCGTCCTGCATATCCGACTCTGGTTTTGATATATTTGATATGTATCCACATATGTGTGTTCTGTTTTTGACAGTCTGTTATATTTTGCTATGTGTACACGGACCGATATTTCATTATAACTGACAATTTGCTTTTGTCTGTCCACTAACTAAACAAACATGTCTGACCTTGTTTTCACATGACATTACAACCAATCATGTTAAGACTCTCTATCAATTCGTTCATTTTTGAACATTCGCTCATACACTTGTGTGACATTGATTTCCTTGTTGTTTGAAAAATACAAGTATCATCGTGAACCTGATGGTTTTCTGGTTTCCGCCTTCTTGCGTCAGGACTATTAATTACTCGACCAGTACATAACAATATTCGTTCACATAATCGCCCGTATCTGAAAGTATGCCCTCTAAATCTTACAAATTTCTTTCGTGAGCGTTGATTGGTGCTTGTTGTTTTTTTATTGTTGGTTAGTCGTCTTCATCGCCTCTATCTTCTCTACGTTCACTTGAAGTCCTGTCGTTGTTGTTTCCGCCTACAAATCTTCGAATACCGAATGAATATACACGCACTAAATATATATATATATAACTGCAGTTATACTGCTAGGCGAATGAAATAGCTATCAAGCTTCTAAGCTGAACTATTTGTTCTGATTTCCACATCTAAATGTGTATTTTCTATTTACTGAAATTCGTCTAGTCTTACAGTTTGATTCAGTAAGGAACAATTTTTTCGTGTTTGACCACGGATTGATATCAGTTAGAGAACACTATTGAAAACCACCCACAGGGAGTATTGGACAGCTATTTCATCTTAGTTTGAAAATGAGGATGGATTTCCTGCCAATGGCATTGATTAGTGGTAGCGCTAAAATCACGAATTGGTAGGAGTTAGAATTCATAGACTGGCCATTAAATCGGATCCCAGTGGTGTAAAAATAGTCCATGTCAATTTTAGCTCTCCACCCAAAGAATATCTTTCATTCTAAGCATATATGTTCGCCCAATATCTCTGAAGATTTATGACCAAATGCTTCAATTATTCCAAAATTTCTGGTAAAATCCGACTAGATACCTCTGAGTTTGTCTGTCAAGAAGTGAGACAGAGATGATGAAGTTGGCTTTGTGACATCCATCTTTATTCTCAATGATTACATAATCAATGCCCTTGGGATGATGCAAGTGAAAAGCAGCAGTAGCTTTTGTAATTTAAAGTGAATAACCCCCCTGGGAAATATCGGTAGGTAATGAAAATTTTATAAAAACGTCAAACTATTAACAAAATCAGTAAACTCAGAAATTTTATGTATCTTTATGTCTATAACTAAAGGTGACTTTGTAGTAATAATAATTACAATTAATCGTTTTGATTGTAAAAACGTTTTATGCTCTCAGAATGATTTACCTAAACATTCATATAAAGCGAAAAATATTTTTTTCCCACGATTCTGAGTACATACGAAAGGTCGACTAAAACTGCAGTGGTTGTATCCAAGAATAGTGTTCCCAAAACACAGTAAATTGATATTATTTGTATTTCATTGGGTTGTTAAATAGAACATAGACCTTCATCAGCAGTCGTGTATTATTTACTATTATTATTATTATTATATTCTTTAATTCCTTGAGGAACATAGGGCTTTAGCTGCGCATCTCTATTGCCTTCTGTTTTCTGCAAAACCTTTTCACCCCTCTCAAAGTCTGCTGACATGATTCCATCTCCTCATCACATGACCTCCTCCAAGTCACCCTTGCATTGACGGCCAACTTGCCGCTTCTCTTTCGGGTTCAACTCGAGCAATGGCTTGTTAGTGATGTCACTTGATGGTTTCCTCAGAGTATGGCCAGTCAATCCATCTCCATTTCTTCCTGCCTATTTGTTTACAATGGTTCGCCCCCAGAGATCCCAGTTGCTGGTCGTTTTCGGTCGGCCATCTGATCCTGAGTATTGAGCGAAGACAACTGTTAATGAAGATCTGTAGTTTGTTTGAGATGCTCTTTATGACGCGCAGTACAAGTCTCTGATCCGTGTAGAATAGCACTGACGTCACATTGGAGTTGAAAATACGGATCATATTTTTGATGCTGAATGCTGTTGACTTCCACACAGACTTAAGAGTAATGAAAGTTGGTGTTGCTTTCCAGATCGATCCTTGCTTTGATATCCTCATCAGTTCCATCCACCTGTAGTTGAAACGATGCTTCCCAGATGGGTAACGGAGGTTGTTTCTTTCAGGTTCCTCCATTTATGTTGCTAATTGTTGTCTGTTGTTGTTGCTGTCGCTGTTGGCCAGGAATTTTCATCACCTCGGTTTTATCTGTGTTCACTTGAAGTCCTATCTTTGATGCTAGTTCTGCCAGCTTGTTGCTTTTCACTTGCATATCTTCAATTGTGGGAAATCAGACATATATCATCGGCGAAGTCCAGATCCTCCAAGTTGTTTTTTGTGTGAGTCCTTTTATGCCTGTTTCCTCATTTCCCGTTGTCTGTGACATTATCCAATCACTGCAATCAGGAAATCATTGACGATAGTAGGCAGCTTGTCTTGCTGTTACTTCTTAGGATTCCGTAAGTTTCCCGTTGTGGATTACTTAGCATGCAGCATTGTCGTATAACTGTTGGATGAGATGTATAATTGTCGGTGGGACCCCGTAGTAGCGAAATAGTTTCCAAATGACCTCTCGATCGACGCTGTCGAAGGCCTTTTCAAAGTTGCGTATAATTCATAATTTTTACAATCACATTCATCTCGACGGCCTGGTTCAGGGATCTCACTCAATGGTCTCCTAAATATGTGCTGAATCCATCCTTATTAAGTTCTCTTTACATATAATTGGCAATGAATTCTCGTCAGGTACGATGGTTGCAAGAGTTCAGAGTTACATATCCTTTCCGGTTGACAATCTGATCTTTATTTTAACACTAGCGAAGGCAACTGTTCATGAGAATTTTAGTGTGTTAAAAATGCTTCCAATGGCACACCAAGTCTTTAAGCCATGTAGAAGCATTGATCAAACACCAATCGTGAAGACCTCAACTTTATTTCCCTACTGCTAAATGCAGCAGATTTCGATACTGAATTCAGATTCCAGAAGGTCTCTCTTTCTTTTCCGATCTTGTCTTTGGCATCCTTATTTATGCCACCAGTATTTGAAATAGTGCTTAGAAAAGGTGGTTGGTTATCCATACAAATTCATTGAGAAAAATAGGAATTCAGCACCAAGGAGAGTCAGTATAGCAACAGTTCTGAAAAACCCGCTCACTGTTCATAAAACTGCAGTTCCTCAATGACAGCGTCAGTGAAATAATAACACAGCGCCTAAAGAATGCAGTTAAAAGAGTTTATTATGCAGCAGAGGTACGTTGTCTCTTCACAATAACCCCTATTCTATGTTCGAGAAATAAGGATAAACTACCTAAATTTGCCTTCTCCTCTGTGTGTATCTACGAGTTTGACTGCAGCTGCGTAGCCAGCTGCACCGAGCGAACAATTAGGCAGGTTCATCATCGTATTTCCAAACATCATCCAGCAGGGTTAAGAAAGGGACAAACAAGATCTATTCGTAGCTCTATTTTAGCATACCTTATCGATAGTGAGCATAAGGTTGACGTTAATACAGCATTTAAAATTATTAATCACATTCCTATTAATCTTAGTTTTGCTTTATGAGTTTGTCGTCTTCTACATGCAGATGAACCAATAGGAATCCACTTGAAGAAACCAAACTTGTGTGTTCAGAAGAAATCCTACAACCACTTTCCTTACCTTGGCCATCGTTAAATAAATGTATAAACCGGACTACTTAGCCCCCCTCTCCCTGAACCTTTAAAAATTATAAAAATTAAAATTGTCCTAATTATTTTATTCTTATGACCACTTCAACTTTAGTTACAAATTATCATTGTCCAAATCGTTTTATTCTTCTTTAATAATCTGTTACGTAATCAATCTGTAGACACGCTTATTCCTTAATTACTCTTCATTTTCGCCAAAATTATGCGTTATGCAATCCACGTGTTGTAGCCATTTCTACCTTTTAATTGTCTGTATTAATTTCCTTCGTTAATTATCACCTTTCGACATTTTGACACAGACTAATTATTGTTAAAAAACATATCAGTGCCACTTGATTGGTAAACTGTTGTGTATTGTAATTAAAATGCTATATATATATAAGAGTAGAGCCAGAGATGACGATCTAATTGAAAAGTAAATATTCCTCCACTCAATCTTTCTGTTTTCTTTCAAATTTCTCCAATTGATGGTGATTAGGGCTCCTGTTATATCCTTGCTACTTCATCAGACGAATTACTGATTTTCGCTTGTATATTTCCAAGTTTATAAGAGAGCAGGCATAAATCATCCGCCAACTCCAGTACTTCTGGAGTGTTTTGATTTCCCAACCTATGGCTGTCTTTTCACTCCTCAAGATCTGTCTAGTCGAATGTAAAGAGGAATATCAACTCTTGTCTCCACCACGAATGGTTTCGGTAACCTTTCTTTTGTGAATTATTTGGTATGTGGTATCATAATATAGCTTCAAACAAACATGGGCGGCTTTTAATTATTCTTTGCTGTGAACTTCTCAGGGAAGATTCAACTTTATACACAGGAAATATAAAACAAAATAACACAGTATTCTTTTCACAATGCAAATAAACAAACGGCTGTGATAACTTACTCGTAAAGCACAAAATCGTCTATGTACAATAATCCATGATAATAAGTAAATAAAACAAGGTAGTACAGCTGTAATCGCTGCACAGTCCACAGGTGCTACTATCCGCAGACTACGTATATAACAGTGTATAAATATTTGCCAAAGACTTGATAAAAGGCTACACCTTGCAATAACTTTCATAAGTTTCGGTTGATCACTTGCTACAGTTAAAGCATGATGCCTAGAAATAACAAACAAAGCAGGGCTAATTAGTTACTTGTTCAAAAAGAGAGTAATATTTATTTGGTTACACGATTTTATCATGAGCTGACATCAGTTAGAGAACCACTGGAAAAGCTGCACCCATCGGAGCTTGAACCGAGGACCTTCTGGTTTCAAGGGGAGCTCGTAGAGCATCCACCCACTGGGACCCGATCTAATGGCCAGCCCATGAATTCTGACTTCTGTCAATTCATGACATACAACAACCACTAGTGAATGTCATCACTGGCGAGTATTTGTCCACACACCTGACTTGCTGCACCTAACTGGTCACGACGTCCCACTGGAAGCCCCAGATAAGTACCCCCCTAAATAGTGCTAGTCGCTAGTAAGCACTCTTTCACTCTTTAACCGATGTCAGCTCACGATGAAATTCTGTAACCAGTCAATAAAATTCCTACAAACTCATACTTGGAAATAATAATTATTTAACAGGTAAAAATCTGAACGTGGTACCTTGTGAGAGCCGAGAAATTCTCCGCACAAAACAGTATAGTTTTAGTGAGAGATAGAATATAGCTGGGATGCCTGGACCGACCCTTTGACTAGAAACCTGATCCACAAAATAGTGAAGCAGAGTTAGAAACTGTGTTCTTATGGTTTCTGGTGACCAGATCCGGTCTATATCCTACTCGATCCATCACGATTCTGGAGTACTTTTTCACCATAGGTCTAAAATCAGGGATTTTCAGCTTCCTTTGGTAATCCCGAATGTCCATCAGTCTGTTTGCAAGCACCACATGTTCTCATTTATTCTTTCACTCTAACAAGGAGCATCTCTACCACGTGAAGATGGTGAATAGGACTTACCTGGCAGAGGGTAAAAGTGTATATTTATAATTACCTGGCATTGATTTCGGTTGGGCAGTTGTACTTAGTTTTGGTGGCAGTGGTGTTGGCAAGTGCTCCCTCATGTGGGTAGACAAAATGGTTGAAAACAGCTGAGTGCAAAGTGCCAAAATCCTCAATAACAACAAAACATCTTGTGGATTACGGACATGATATCGACGCTGTCAAGTTATTCACTATTGTGAGCAGACAAAGAAACGAGAAGATGCTTGGAATTGCAGAGGCTTGTGCAATTCGAATTTATAAACCATCTCTCTGTATACAAAAGGAGATGGTCGTGACTCTGAATCTACCATGATAATACGTTTTACTTATTATTCTCTAATTGTTATTACTACTATTCTACCTCTTCTTCTTCTTATTATTGTTATTATCATCATTATTATTATTCTTGATTCATTTAAAACTATCCTTTATCAGTGTGATTATCTTCACTCACTTCAACACTATTAAAACTGTTATTATAACTATTACTATTGATATTAGTCTGTTTACAATTCTCGTTATATTCCCTAATGACTAATTGTTTATCTAAGTGATGTAATTGAAGCGTAATGCATTTTATCTTAATTTTGATCTCTCATACTCCGTCTCTCCCCTTATCTTATTGAAAATGACCTGGAAATCATTTGCACGTGTCTTTCTGCATGACTAATTCAATGTAGTTTGTTTACTTATCAGTTTTATATCTCCCAATATAATATCAAAAGTATATATATCCGTGTATGTAGAATATTCAGCTGACGAGTTCTACCAAAATTTGATGAATTCATTAAATCATCCTGCTTTATTAACCTTTATTGCTTGTTTTAAATTCGTATCGGAAATAAATGTTTTCAATTAGTAATAAAAATGACTGAAATAATATAGAATTCAAAGCCTCTGTGGTACTGCTTCACAAAGAAGGAACGTCAGAGGTCCTACGTCGGGGTTATCAATGAGTCTGGAATTAGGGTGGCATTTAAAACAACGAACTGTCTCAGACATAGACTTTGTCGGCCCAGGGACCCAGTAGATCCAATTAAGAAATATAATGCAATTTACCAAATACCATGCCATGATTGTGAGGTGAATCACGTAGGCCGTCAAACTGGTAGATCGGCGTCAATTAGATTATTGGAACATAAAAAAATTAAGCTAGAGTTAGAATAACTGACCCTGTAAAGTTAAATAACCTAGAAGAAACAGAGGTCAGTCATTGAACTGTATTCACTTGCAAGTAATCACAGAATAGGGTGTATGGGATAGAGTGAGAGTATGAAGAAGTAATACAGTGGTTAGATGGAGGCAAATGGAAGTTAATTAGCGAAGCTTTATTAATCGACTGAACACCAGATAGGTGTAATCGAAATGACGCAACACCTATAACGGGGTATGTAAAGCGGCAACAAACAACAAGAGTCAGGTGGTGAGAGGCGCAGGGAGAGAAAATATGTGAAAAAGGAAATTGCGAAAGCGTGTGACTAAATTGGATATGATTATGAGCAACATATTGCACTCGAAACGTTATGCAGTTGTTAATACTGCATCACTGCCTACTATCTTCAATGATTTTCCCGATTTCGGGAGGTAGACTGATAGTGCGACAGACAGCGGCGAGCAACGAAAAGACAGGTGTAAAATGGACTCACACAAAAACACTTTGGACGATCTGGACGTCGCCAATGTAATATATGTCTGATTTCCGACAAACTGGAAGATATGCAAATGAAATGCAACAAGTTGGCAGAAGATACATCCAGAGAAGACAGGATTTAGATATGATAGAGAAGATTTGTAGCTCAGGTGGGTGATTTTGATGTGGTTGTGTTCTTCGAGCTGCATGGTTAATTTGCGAAACTTTCATCACCCTACCCGGTGACATCTTCAGCTCATACTTCAATTTGAAGTGAGCTTTTAGATTTCTCCACGAGTTTATTAACCATCTCTCCTGGTGACCTTGGACGTGTGAGAGGTTTCTTTCTTATCGGTTGATAAATTCTGTCTATCTCTATATGTCTATTGATTGATGATTCACTGGAATACCAGACAGGCTTTTAAAAATTCCCTAGCATTCTTGTTGTTTCCTCTGTTTAATATTTGAACGTTGTCCCAGTCGAATTGATGTCTGTGGTTGTCTGTATGCAGTGATTGATATGAGGGAGTGGATATCATGTCTCACGAACATAAGCTAGCCGTCAAAAGACATGATATCCACTCCTTCATACCAATCACTGCATACAGACAACCACAGACATCAATTCGACTGGGACAACGTTCAAATATTAAACAGAGGAAACAACAAGAATGCTAGGGAATTTTTAAAAGCCTGTCTGGTATTCCAGTGAATCATCAATCAATAGACATATAGAGATAGACAGAATTTATCAACCGATACGAAAGAAACCTCTCACACACACAAAGCGTCAAAGTTCAAGTCAAAGAAACAGTCAGTTCCAATACAAGTAACGTAGAAGGTGTGGAAACACACATAAACAACCAATCACGTCCAAGGTCACCAGGAGAGATGATTAATAACTCGTGGAGAAATCTAAAAGCTCACTTCAAATTGAAGTATGAGCTGAAGATGTCGCCGGGTAGGGTGATGAAAGCTTCGCAAATTAACCATCCAGCTTAGAGAACACAACCACATCAAAAGACAGGATTTCGGATGAACACAGAGAAAACAGAGGTGATGATGAGATTCCTGGCCAACAGCAACATCAGCAACAATAGGCAACAATCACCATAAATTGGTGAAAGCTGAAAGAGCAACCTCCTTTACCTACCTACCGGCTTAAAAAATATTGTTTCAACTTCAGGCAGACGGAACTGATGAGGATATCAAAGCAGTAAGGATGGGGAATCAAGGCCAGCTTTCATCAACCTCAAATCTGTGTAGAGATCAACAGCACTCTTCAGCATGAAAATGAAAATAAGATCGGTACTTTCAACTTCAATATGAAGTCAGTGCTCCTTGCTATAGGGATCAGAGACTTCGCGCGACATCACGAAGATTACTTCCAACAAACTACAAACCTATTCATCAACAGCTGTCTTCGCTCAATACCACTCAGGATCAGATCGGCGACCATAAAAGATCAGCAACAGAGATCGCTGGGAGCGAACCAACCCAGAAGAACGAATGGTGCAACAAATATGCAGGAAGAAATGAAAGTGGATTAGCTTGTTATACTCTGAGAAAACAAAGCATCAAGTGAGTGATATCACACGCAGGGCATCGCTCAAGTGAAACCCTGCCGAATTGGAAGCGGAAAGTTGGTCGTCAGTGCAATCGTGGCGTTGAGAGGGTGATGTGAATAGGAGATGAAAGCATGTGGGTAGATCTGGAGCCAGGTGAAAACATTAGCAGAGAAGCGAAGGCAATGAAGACGTGTGCCTGAAGCCCTATGTTTCTTTAGGCATTAAAGGAAACAATAATGAAAATATCTAATATGCAGTTACATTATACCACGGTGACCAAGTTTTACGCTTACATTAATGATACCTAATGAAAATCATTCTGATGGAAGCCTGTGTACGATACCATAATATAATTCGTCAATTTAAACAACATGAAACGGAGAAAATTAGATGCATTCCAACAGATACGATACAAGGCACCTCAATGATTTAGGCAGCGCGGTAATCTGTTTTACCGGCTGCCATATCACATACTATTTATGAACTTTTGAAATAAGTAGAAACACCCAGCATTATAGTTCCTACCGGAAATTGACTGTTTCAATGTGAAACAAGATAATAATTATCATTGTTTCCTTCAGTTCCTAAAGAAACATACAGCTTCATGCACACGTCTCTATTGCGTTCGCCTCTCTGTCAACGTTTTCACCTGGCTCCATGTTCGCCCACATGCTTTTTTCTCCCTTTACATCGCCTCCTCCATATCACCCTCGCACTGATCACAAACTCACCGCTTCCTATTCGGACGGGCTTCACTCGAGCAATGACCTGGGGTGTGATGTCACTCACTTGATGCTTTGTTTTCTCAGAGCATGACCAGGCAATCCACCTCCATTTCTTCCTGTATATTTTTTGCACGATTGGTTCATGTTGGGTTGGTTCGCCTCCAGCGATTCCTGGTGCTGATGCTTTCTGGTTGCCGATCTGATCCTGAGTAGTATTGAGCGAAGACAGCAGTTGTTGTCAAATTCCTGTAGTTTGTTCGAAGTGGTTTTCATGGCACGGTGTGGAGTGGCGTCAAGTCTCTGATCCGCATAGCTAGTAGCGCTGACTTCGCATTCGATCTGAAAATCTGGATCTTATTGTTCACTATTAATTACAATTTCCAAAAATGGTATGAAAACCATAGACTCACTAACATGGGTCAACTTAGGCATTTAAATCCGATAACCTATACAGTTGAACAGTTAAAAGCAATGCCAAACAGTTAGTTATGGGTATTATTAATTAACAAGATTATATCCACGGATTTAGTGTTCGAAGTTAAACGAATTATAATAATTTCTACAAATTCCTGACCAGAAACATCAGAGAAGTGAGAGAATTATTATTATTATTATTATTGATAATAATATATTAAACTGAATTTTAGATCTCCCCATCGATTGATTAGACCGAAGTTCTTGTCTTGGTTGACATGTCGGTTTCTTGTGCAAATGCTTTCAATGATTTCTGGAAATTTAATTAGAATTTAATTTGTGGATGGTGGAATCCATCTGGATGCGCATTTCGTCCTATTTGAAACTCATCCAATCAATCGACGGTAAAATCAAAAAAGTTCAATTAAATAATTAATATGCCCCTTGCACAAAAGGTGGTCTCTTGGCCCAATTGGTCTAGTGGATAACGCTTTGGCGTTTGAAATTATAGGCACTGGGTTCGAGCCTCGGTGGGAACACCATTCCTTTACTGAGGGGGGAATGAAAGTATATCTAGTGGCCGACGAGTCAAAAGTAGGACGAAGTGCGTATCCTAGATTTCACTGCTAGTCACCACCCACAAATTAATTTCAAGATAATAATATGATGATAAAATGAAGACTGATCGACAAAAGTCGAAATATTCTCAACATAAATATTTTGTATAAAATCCAATACTTACATGATCATTTCATTTAGATTTGTTGTCTCCAAACGAAATAACAAAGTGAAAATCAGATATACAGGATAAATAAGAATTAACCAAAATGATATAGAATAGGAAGCCAATGATGGGGATTTACAAGTTCCTGAAAAGGTATAAAAAAGAAGAACATTTCACTCTTACGTAATGTTGTAACCATTGCGAATCAATTGAAAGGCGAAAATAAAAGCACACAATGGGACGCATGGCCCAGTATATAAACTTAACCTCGCCTGTTTCACTAGTCGGTTCTTAGCTCGGAAAAAGAGAAAAGATTGGGCGTGAGGTAACAACACTATCTTCGAAAATAAACTCGAACGCTATAGAAACTTCAAGAATTAGAACTGGTCCTATTCAGGCAGTTAACCTGGGGTTCTTCTGGGAAGGCGTGACCAACAGGTTGGAAATAAGGCAGTAACTCATTGAAGAAGACATTGTGAAATGGCCGCGCTATATCGTGAATTGACAGTAGTTAGAAATTTCAAGGACCACTGGATAAGTTGCCAGTGAGTGGCTTAATGGTCTACGAGATTGTCAGTCTTGTATGCAGAATGTCCTGGGTCGGACCTCAGTGGAGCGGGTGCGTACTACTGAAGAGTTCTAAACTACGACTAAACAGCTGTCGAGTACTCTCAGGTTTTCCAGTAGTGCTCTAACTCATATCAGATTGTTGTGAAATCCTCCATACCATCAAAAATATAAAACACAAACTTATTCAAAATTTAAAATAATTAGTTCCCTTTATGAATTTTGACAACATAGTTAGAAGACGTAGTTTTTGGTATATTTGCGCAACATATTTCGGAAATTCCAATCACAAACACCAGTACTTGTCATGCACAGTTTTATAGAAAACAAAAGACACGAGTAATTACAATGCAGGTCAGATTGTGTACAGGTCAAGGTCACAAATAATGGGTAGTGAGATGACGCAAAGGTGTGTGTAAGAAACGAAGAACACAACAACAACTATAATCTCCAGACACAGTTGATCCCAGAAATTATAGAGATCCCAGCACATTATGAGACGGGTCATGAGGTTGATTTCAACAATGCCTTAAGCCATATATAATAAACAGGGTTGGATCACGTATTTAAATTCGTTGAAGCCTTGTCCATAAAACGACTTAAATCTGTCTCATGTGCACAAAACTTATTTTCAAGTATTGGTCTTGTAGGGATTTCGTTTCATTGGATGGAGGATTTCATCATGAGCTGACATCATTTAGAGAGCCACTGGAAAACGTGGGAGCACTGGACAGCTGATTCGTCCTACTTTGACACTCTTCAGCAGTTATTTGTTATCACTTCAAACCTGCCTGGTAATATGATTTAGAGACAAGGATCAGTTTACTTTACAATATATTCAACCCTTCTTTGCTTTCTTTTTTTCTTTTACTTTCTTACCCACATGTTTGCTCATCTCACCACTCTTTTATTTGTGACCTTCACCTGTACACAATCTGACCTGCATTGTAATTATTCACGCCCTTTTTTTGTCTTCTATAAAACTGTGTATGACGAGTACTGGTGTTTGTGATCAGAATGTTGAAAATGTGTCGCGCAAATACATCACACGTTTCAGATAAACTACGTCTGACAAACTTATTCTTCGCTAAATTCGAAGAGAGAAATGATTCGGCCTGGTGAAAGCCTTCAGGGAACCAGTCAGCCAAAGCTCCTTCTTTCGTTGAAGGTCAGTATAAACAGTGGGTTGTCGAATCTTTACAAGATGATTGTAAAAATAAGAAATCTGTTAGGAATCACCGAGAGCAAATAGAAATTCAGTGAACTCTTCAAATTGTAATTGGAGGGCTGGTAGTATACTCCAGTCATCTAGACGACAAACAGTAAATGCACTGAGGGAGTGGCCAACCATGCTGAAAGAAATATAGATGGATAGGATACACGGTGAGGAAGTTTTATTTTATTTTATAGGAATCAGTCGACTTTGAATTACCATTTGGACAGCTTCACTCCAATCTCCCTTCCTCTTATTATGTAGAAAAATAGGTTAGTAAGCATCTGATAACTTTTTTTTTTACGTTGAAAGAGGATGGAAAATGAGAATATTCACGGCACTTTCTTAATACAGGATGATAAATGTGCCGAAATTAAAGTGGTTAGCTTTTAGCAAGGTGATTTAACACCCCCTTTTATTTCTATCGCAGAAACCAACGGTTTGACGTGATGAAATACCAGGTAGCTTCAAAACGTATCATTGATTAATTCTTAATCAATGTTCATTGTTATAAAAGTGTTTATATTTCCCAATGAATAAATGAAAAACAAAACGATAATGTTTTTTTAATGAACGTTTCACTATTTCATGCTGCTAATGGCTTTATCAAAGTATTATTAAACCAGAATTAACAAATTCTAAGCTTATGTACAATAATTTAATCACCCTTCCTCAGTATGGGGTCATTTTTCGTTGTCCAATTGGTAAAGATAACAAAACCGGGTGTAATGACTGTTGGGTTTGATAACTGTATAAAACTATACCAAAGCAGCATGTATTTACATAATGAAATTGCTTTCATATTCATGTTGATTTTTCATTTTGTTTGGGGGTCAGGGGTCAAATTCTGTTTTGCATCCATCATTCCTATTCAGACAATTTAGATTCCATTGATATGAAGTGCTTCTGATGATATTAGACGTTGTTTATATTTCTGAAGCTTTTTTTCTGAATTACTTCAATATTGTTAAATCAATTTTGTAACCTGGTCCTATGGAGTTTAGATGATCTATGACTGATGATTTTTCAAGCTTTTCTAGTTCAACTTGACTTCTTATGGTCGAACAGATACTTTACGGTGTTCATTTCTTCTGGTTTTGATTCCTCTCTGGCAATGTTTGTCCTATGTATATCACATCACATTCCAAGCAAATTTTATTTTACAGACCCAACTAGGTGGAGAATCCTTAGGGATTAGGTCTTTTATGTGGATTGGGTTGCTTCGCAGTGTGTCTGATGTTTGAAAAAAAAACCTGATGTCTAGCTCAATGAGTACTCCTCTGATATCGTCTGACTTCGTTACTATGTGAAATTAAACAAATAATAATTGTATCCATGTAAAATAATCTATATAAATGCGATTGTACAGCTGCTTTTTAGAATGAAATCGCCGAAAAGATCGCCATCTTTCCTGAACTTCGTGTTCTCTTCTTTCTAATGTCCATATGGGTATTTTCCACGAAATAATGCCGTTTCACTGACTGTGTGATATTTCTAATAACCAATCTTATATGAAATTAATTACCACCACAGTGCCCCCCAAGTTTTACACATATATTAACACTATAAAAAGTAGACTAACCTGAAAGTTAGAGCTGTTCCAATGACTAGAAACATATATATTTGGTATACAATGTATGAAACTGACAAATGATACACTAACCAAGATTGTAGTGACCAGACACCACATAATTTGCCATATTAAATGCTTTAATTGACCTGCATTCTGTTTTCGTGTTGGTATACACTTCCATTTGTGTTGTTTATATAAACGTTTCACAGCCAGCTGAACTTTATTCGGTGTAGTCTGTGAATTTTGTTTCACCTCAGTATCATCTTGTGCCGATTGATTGGTAGTAGTAAACGGTAGTACAGGGACTTCTAATTTAATAGAGGAGATACTATTTTTATTCGTTGAATTTTCTTGACGTAATTGTTGTGTCAATTGGTCATTTGACAATTCACTTGGAAGGCAGGAAACAGCATTTTTATGCTTTTGTTGTTGTTGTTGTTGGTCGTGGTCATGGTGGCGGTGACCTTTTCTTGGTTCCTTGTATGCTTCGATTTCAGCGTATTCTGATTGTCGTTAGTATATTCCCAGAGAATACAGGCTCTAGTGTTTCACTTGATTGGCTTTCTTTATAAAAATGATGTAGCCGTCTTGATTTCAATCGAATTGGAGGTAGTTTGAAACATAAGCAACCATGCTAAAAGAAGGAGAGAAGAACTCTAAAGACTTAGGTTGAAAAACCTTAGTTAGAGCATTGTTCAATAGAGCACGAAAAATCGGTTATGACAGTACAACTGAATATGAAATAAACATTGCGAAGAATATTTGATCTAAGAATGAATATCCTTTGAGGTTCATCAATAAGTACTCTAAAAAAATATGCCTCAATAAAACTATCCATACAATTTCGAATAAAGATGGAGCAAAGTATATCGGCCGTACGCAACTTCAAGTCCACAAAGGTATTCTGGAACACTGTCCAGCTTGGTTATCCGCAAGAAGAAAGAAGAATACCGGCAGAGCTATCCTCAAAACACCTGGTGACCTCCGGGCATCATCACTTGCACGAATGCTTTACAGTAATACACAGAGTCCCTCAATATCGTACTAAGTGACTTTGCATACACCATCTGTATATAGCTGAATCATTAGCCATTTGGTATCTGAAACCAGGCCTCTGCATTCGAAAACGCCATATATATTAACTCGCCCTACCGTGGCCAGAGTAAAATCCTTACTATAATTTTCTTCTTATTTTTTATTATGTAAGTTCACTATTATTATTATTGTTATTATTACTATTATTTTATTAGCATTTTTATTCCCATCATCCATATTTTATTACCACTCTATTACTGTTCATTAATAACATTGCTTTTTCATGCATTTTGTCTCCTTTCCACTAGTTCCTGTCCGTTCTACACGAGCTTATTGATTAGTCATTATCTCACACTTATTACGTCATGCGGATTTCTGCTTCATTTTCCAATTTCCAGTTAGGCACACCTTCTAGACTGCACCTTCAAGGACAAAGTTTATCAGTATCTGATTGGTCTAAAGATTTCTTTGTTTAATATAATTGCGACTGTAAAGTTCATGAAAATGTTTCATCGGAAAGAAAATTTCTTCATTGTTTTTGCACCGTTTTCTTATGACTCAGTATGGGAATATTTCGCCTAGATAGATATTTGTATCAATTCACCACCTAAAGTAAATGATGTACAAGAAGACGACCTGCCTAAATCATTGGGCTACCGAAATTACTTTCCTCGAAAATACTTAATTTCATCTGGATTTATCATTGTTTTAATCGTCCAGTTATATCAAATGATCTATACATAAAATTGAGCGATGATTTAACTTTACTCCCAAATAAACGCTTTACAATTCTTCAACGAAATGAAGATATACTTCAGATGATTACTTCACGTGTGAATCCTGTGTGAAGAAAAAAGTACTTTTGGAACTGAATACGCTGAAAATTTTTGTACTGTATATTCGCATACTGTCTTAAATAAAGCTTTACCATTATAAAAAATAAAGAGTCCAACGAAAGCTTTATGAAGTTGTCAGGAGAACTTATTATGTTACAGAACTCGTCTACCTTGTCACCATCAAGTGGGTGCTTCAACATTCTGAGAAAGACACTTCAAAATGTGTACACCAATTTAAGTTTATGTTTTTGTAAGCAAATACATAGGCTGTACAGAAAGAAAAGTGTCTACTCAAGTTTTGAAGTCATGTCAGTTATAACTGATATGATCATGAACAATGAATAAATTTTGTTCGAAACTTCATGGAGTAAACAATACTGTTTCACTGTAGAATTACTTACCACCACAGTGTCAAAGTTTTACACATATATTAAGTGTCTACACGCATAATAAAGCATTTTTTAAAGTGCTTGAAAACAACTTTAAAAACCAAATTGCCTGTTATTATTATTATTATTGTATCCTTTAGTTCCTAGAGGAACATAGGGCTTTAGCTGCGCACCTCCATTGCCTTCGGTTTTCTGACAACATCTTCACCCCGCTCCAAGTCTACCCGCATGCTTTCATCTCCTCTTCACATGATCTCCTCCAAGTCAACTTTGGACGATCGACTCGCCGCCTCCCTTTCGGGTTCCACTCGAGGGCTTGTCTAGTGATGTCACTTGATGGTTTTCTTCAGAGTATGGCCAGCCAATCAATCTCCATTTCTTCCTGCTCATTTGTTTCACAATCGGTTCCTGATTGGTTCGCTCCCAGAGATCTATCCCTGTTGCTGATCTTTTCTGGCCATCTGATCTTGAGTATTGAGCGAAGACAGCTGTTAATGAAGGTCTGATGCTGTTAAGCCATTCACGCCGTTGTCAACATATAAACAAACATACAGGAAATTTTCAAATACCTTGTTTGTCAGCTCATCATGATGAAATCCTGTAACCAATCAATCAAACTCCCAACAAACACCAATACTTGAAAATCAATGGGATGTTCACCGGCAACTTGCCCTATTCAGATAGGCAGTTACATGGGGTTCTAGTAGGAAAATGTAACCAGTAGGGTACAGAAAGTCGTTTGTGGAGACAAATACTCGCCAAAGACATTGGCTAGTGGTCAAGCTGTGTCGTGAATTGACAGAAGTTGTAATTTATGAACCATTGGATCGGGTCCTAGTCCGTGGGTTCAAACCCTGGTGGGTGCGCAATGATGAAGAGTCCCAAACGATGACGCGGAACATCTATCCAGTAATCCTGGGTGGTTTTCCAATGATTCTGCAACTGATATTGATCCGTGGTCAAACTCGTATAAAAAGATTTAATCCTTACGAACCAACTCTTGATAATAATATTGTTAAAACAATTAGTCCCTTTGATAAATTTGAATAAGGTATTAAGAAAAAAAATTTCGCGAGATGATATCGTCATTTCGTAGTTTCTCTACAACCGCTCTACAACTGAGTAATTTTCATGAACTTTATTTTATGATTGTTAACCATGTTAGTTGTAAAAAGGTTGTAAAGAAACTACGAAATGACGATATCATCTTTCGAAATTTGTCTTCTTAATGCCTTATTCAAATAATATTCTTAATAAGTAAAATTATGAGATAATTGAAATAGTGTTGTGGTGAGAGCTAGTCGCTAGCCAAACTGGTAGACAGTATTTTACGTCAATGTTTACTTCCTCAATATTGGTCATGAGAAAATATGAACAAAGACTGATTCAACAACCAACCACAGCAGACTTTGCGTAGGCAGATACAGTTAACATATAGATGATCTGACATTCAAGAAACAGTCACAATGAGATGAAAGATTGACTTTCAGTGAGAAACAACCAATCAGAAGACTGTGTTTGTTTGCTTAAATAATCTATAATAATGTACATGATTTCCTTAATAGACCATCTGTTGCCTAACCCCTGTATTCTGTTGTTACAGTGTCAAGATAAATTAAAAACAAGAGAAGATAAAAGAACCAATTATTATTTTGCTGATAACACCGTAAGTTCTTGGGTTTCACGCCTAGCATTATCTCTATCACTTAGAAAGCTGGCCAAATACAGTATCGTCGAGTTTTTGTCTTTGTTTGGACGATCCCTAGTAATAATTAATAAGGCATATCATTCAAGAAGAAAGAATACTCACAAACGAGGAAAAACGCCATCTATGCAATTATTTACAACTTTGGCTTAAATTTAGGCATGTTCATTAAGGTATTTCTAAACATCAACCAGCATCACTAGTCAGAGGATAAACAAGTTCTAATCTTAGCATCAGATTTCGCTCACCTTGTAGATTGTGAAGAAAGAGTCGATGGATCAAATAAAGTATAATTATATTTCAATAGTTTACACACACAATGATAAGTTTTGTTATTGGTAATATTTCGAGCAAAATTACTGCCCGTGTTCACACCACTGTTCGAGTTGTTTTATTCTAATTATACTTTATTTGATCTAATCCACAATGCTCAAACATTTTTACTGATATTAAGTCGATGGATGTTAACAAGATATCAATTCTATTCCGACTAACCCCAATTTATCCTAACAAATTCTTTTTTTATTTACGAGTGACATCGTTGAAAACCACCTAAATAAGCCTAGTTAAGGTGTGATTCCAGTATGAATAGAATTTTATTTTGATAAAGTCATACAGTGGTGTTAGAAAGTAAGTAATATTTATTGATGACTACGTTTCATTACTGCTCATAATCATATCAAGATACTTGTCACACAACTGTCTTGCTTCATTTATATACATGAGTAAAAATTGATGATTAGACATTTGAATACAAATCAATATAAGACATGCGTGAATCAGAAAGGAAGATATACTTACAGAGACAAACTTTTTGGGCTAAACGACCCACTTGACCCAGTTAAATAAAATAATACAATATGCAAAATACCTCACAATAACTGTCAGTAAAGTCAACTACATAGGTGAAACTAGTAGATCAAAGGAGATTAGTGAGATGATCAAAACATAAGAATTTAGCTGAGGTTAGAATGATTTATCCCACGAAGATAAGTAATTTGGAAAAAAATCGCAGCACTGCATTGCACTGCATGCATTAACACACAACCACACAATAGGGTGAGTGAGACAGAGTTAAAATTCCAAAATGTAATATAGGTAGGTAGGTGGAGAGAGAGAGAGAGAGGTAGTTCATTACTGAATCCTGGTTTGTAGAGTCTACACTCAACACAAGCAACAGAATTGACTCAACGCAAATATGAGAGATGTGTATAGAAGATATTATTACCACCAGTCTAATCAGAAGAGGATAATAAATAATCATAAAATTCTATTTCACTTCAAGCATATCACAACATTCTAACAAGTAACTTATTATGACTATAAGAAACACTCTTCTTATTTCCCATCTGATTGTAATTGGTCAATAACACTCATATTATTGTTTCTGAATGTACATTATCCAATATTGATTTTTGTTCCAATATCTAATCGATTCCACACATGTATATAAATGAAGGTAAATAGTAGTGTGAGTAACTTGATATGATTATGAGCAGTAATAATTTGTGCTCGAAACGTGGTCATCAGTTAATATTACTGTATAACAACACTGTGTGACTTTATCAGAATAAAATCTTATTCATAATGGAGTTATGCTCTACCACAGTGCTCAACTTTTATACTTATATAAATAAATAACTTGCTAGAATGTTCTAATGTGAATTGA